TACCCGGAACTTCTCGGTTCTCAGGAACTAACTGAACTACATCAGTCTGAAGGAACGTGAGGTCAGTTTCCTGCTCAAGTGAATTTGTTGTTGCTTGCTCCTCCGCCGGAATCCAGCCTGGCACTTCGGAACTGGACGTCAACCTCAGCTGAACACCGCGCCATCACGGCGCTCGTAGGCCTGTTCAACCACATCAGGTCATATTGGCGAGTCTAAGTCTCACTGTCACTCTGGCTAGCTTCATCCTAATAGGCGACAGTGTTTTAAAACATAGTCTACTGGCGGATGTTGAGGTGTTACCTATTTCGATCGGGTTTAGCAGATTTTTGATCATGTGGCGACTTATAGTTTAGTCGCCTGTAACATATCGGCGTAAGGCTCGTCGATGGCTCATCGAAAGGGCTCATGAGCTAAGGAAATACACATAGCACTTGATCGACGTCTTTGCTCTAGTCCTGGTTCAAGGATACGCTTCCAATTGATGCAGTTTTCGGTTGATCCTCTGCTGACAAGATTTTTCTCATGAGGATAGCTCAGTGTTTCACGAGAGGTGCTATACTCGCTCTGTGGCTCCTATTTTTTACAGCCAGAGGCAGCAGAAAAAATTTGTTATATTTCTAATGATTTAGGCGATTGCTACCGTAGATAGATTTGGAATGATTTAGCGATTTGCGCGAGATTACGCTAAGCCAATTATCCAGGTATGTAAATCCAATCTGACAAGAAATGGTCACACCAGCCACTTGATGAAAGTAGGCTTGTGCTGCAAATTCGCGTAGATATTTATGCTCCAGCACACCTCAATTCTCCAGAGTGCAAATTAGCTAGGAAATTAAAATTTTGAGGCCGAATTTAGACGTTATTTTGACTTGGCGTTTAATTGAAGGCGTTCATGGTTTCAACCAACTCATACGTTGTGTAGAGAGGTTCGGTCTTGCTTCGTCTTATAAATATAACATTGGAGGCAAAGAGTGAGGGACAACGAACCAACATAATGCACGGTAAAACATCGCCTCTGCTTACGCCGCGGTAGTCCTGTCCTCAAGGGCTGCCGTGAACCTCCATATGGTAAATATGCAAAGGGAAACTACATACGAGAATGCTGTTTTGAATTCAAGGATTATGGATCATCATTTCATACTGATAGGATCCAGTTTAGCATATCATCCATTTCTAGGGTTCATTTTTGTTGTACGACAGTTGCGT